ATGAATTCTGCGGCTGCATGCACGGCGCGCGGACGTGTGTGTGTCAGCACGACGAGCGAGGGGACGGAGACAACTCCGCACTGCTGTCGTTCGGCCTCCGTCCGACGTCAAGGTTGCGTAGGTAGTAGGAGATAGAGGGACTCCGCCAGCCAAACCCGGGCTTTCACGACAGCCCGACGAGCACTGTAATCTGTCCGATACTGATTATTAGCTCATGTAAATATCTGGACGTCTTTCTACTATGTGTATTTTTGGGCTTCAGATGATCATTCTACTTCATTAACTTTAAAACTAGTGAGCGTCAAAACGTGCCGTAATACCCTGCATAGCTCGCCAAATCCCATTGAAAGGTGCGTCCGTGGTGGTGTGGGGCGTGCCAGTGATGTCATGTGTGTGTATGATGGTGTAGCGTGCGTGCACGCGCGAAGGCGCTGCTGTGCGGTGTTCCGCCGTGGGCATGGTGTGTCGGGCGTGTGCGTCTGTAGTCGTTGTCATGGTGTGCGCGTTAGGCGTGGTGCCACCGCTGGGTCTTACCGTAGTGCTGTGGTTGCTGTGACTGTGGCGTTGTGTGTATGTTGCGTTTGGCAGTTGTGAGTGCAGCCGTCGGGCGTCGCGCGTGCGGTATGTGGCTGTTGTGGTGTGTTATGCTGCTCCTTGCGTGCGTCGTGCCGTGCGCCGCTGCCGTGCGTGCGCTGCGTATGTGCCGTCGCGTGTCGGGCGCGTGGGTGATGTTGCGTGTGCATGTGCGTACCGGTGTGCGTGTGTCCAAACCCAATGGTGTGTGTACTAGTGTCGTTATCGTTTACAGATAATCTATGGGCGCCAGTGACGCGATCGTGTTGTTTTCACGGGCGTTCTGCCGCGGCTGTCCGGCGGTGGCGGCGTGCGGCACAGTCGTGACATTAATCCATCATCGTAGAATGGTTCCAAAATGCATGATATGATGAGCGACCGGCGCAGGACACGTACACGGGGGAGCGAGACAAGATGTGGGGGGGGGGGTGAGTCAACCCCGGGCGGTGGTTATATACGTCGACTGCCGTCGTCTTGTGAGGCTTGCAGTGAATCCCGTGCGGAAACCTTTATGTGAATTAATGTAGAATGGCTTCGATTCCGTGGCCTATGTTTCAAACGTGTACTATGTACCGCTGCCCTGGCCGGTTTAGAGTACGGGTAAAGAACAGCAACAGAGCTGGCCTATCACGTGCACGCACGTCGTGGCGCGTGGCGTGGCGAGCACGTGTCGGTGATTGGCAGTTGCCGTGGGCGTGTCTCGACCGAAAACGTTTAAACGTTAAACTCCGTCCTAACCGTTTTTTTACGGCTACAGGACGCGCGCACATTAGCCACAAACAAAATGGGCAAAACAAACAATTTGGAGGAAAGCCCCAGCTTCGTGGCTACTCAAAATACTCGTGCTAAGAACAGAACTCTGGGTTTTCGTTTGCGCGGCCGCAGGCACATAGGCACACGGCGCGCACTCACGCACAGGCATACGTACGCAGACGCAGGCGCACACGCACACGACCACGCACACGCGTGCACACGCACACGCATAGGCACACGGCGCGCGCACACGCACGTACGCACGCATACGCGCGCGCACGCACACGAACACGCACACGCACACGCATAGGCACACGGCGCGCACACGCACGTACGCACGCATACGCATAGGCACACAGCGCACGCACACGCACGTACGCACGCATACGCGCGCGCACGCACACGAACACGCACACGAACACGCACACGAGCAAGGCGCGCACACACGCGTGCACACGCGCTCACGCACACACGTTACACACATGAGCTCACGCACAAACGCGCTCACGCACACACGCGCTCACGCACACACGTCACACACACGCGCTCACGCACACACGTCGCTCACGCACACACGTCACACACACGGGCTCACGCACACACGCGCTCACGCACACGCGCTCACGCACACACGCGCTCACGCAACACGTCACACACACGGGCTCACGCACACACGTCGCACACACGCGCTCACGCACACACGTCACACACACGCGCTCACGCACACGCGTCGCACACACGCGCTCACGCACACGCGTCGCACACACGCGCGCACGCACACGAACACGTACACGAGCACGGCGCGCACACACGCGTGCACACGCGCTCACGCATAGGCACACGGCGCGCACACACGCACACGCACACATACGCGCGCGCACGCACACGCATACGCATACGCATACGCATATAGCGCGCACACACGCACACGTACACGCACACCCATAGGTTAGGTTCACTATATACAGAGAGTTGCGACATGACGAGTCGGAAAAAATTGGTCACGTGATCGCTGGACGCACAGGCATTGTTTCCAAATGGATCCACACCGCTGCCGCTCAAGTACAGCGCTGTATGGATACGTTGTACAATGGTCCGTAGTAATTAATTAGACTAATCGTGGTTCAATAAACTCAAAATTCACAGAGATTATAGGTAAGACATGTGTCTATGTGTATCTTGATTTCTAGAAATGTTACTCAAATCGTTCGCTCCATATGATAGTTTAATTAAACACTTTCTTACCGCCCATAGCCGTGCGTATATTAGCCTGTGCGATACCGCGCGTAGATACTTGCTATAATTAATTAAACCACTCGCGCTTCAATAAACTCAAGAGTCACAGAAATCATAGATAACACATGTGTTTATATGTATCTAGATTTCTAGAAATGTAGCTCCAATCGTTCGTGCCATAATAATATTATGATAGTTTAATTGTATGCCATCACTTTCTTACCGCCCATAGCCGTGCGTATATTAGCCTATGTGCGATACCGCGCGTAGATACTTGCTAATTAATTAAACCACTCGTGTGTGCGCGCGTACGCATGTGCACGTAGACGTGCGTGCGTGCGTGCGTGCGTGTGTGCGTGCGTGTGCACGTACACGTGCGTGCATGCGTGCGTGCGTGCGTGTGTACCTACACGTGCGTGCATGCGTGCGTGTGCACGTACACGTGCGTGCATGCGTGCGTGCGTGCGTGTGTACCTACACGTGCATGCATGCGTGCGTGTGCACGTACACGTGCGTGCATGCGTGCGTGCGTGCGTGTGTACCTACACGTGCGTGCATGCGTGCGTGTGCACGTACACGTGCGTGCATGCGTGCGTGCGTGCGTGTGTACCTACACGTGCGTGCATGCGTGCGTGTGCACGTACACGTGCGTGCATGCGTGCGTGCGTGCGTGTGTACCTACACGT